CTCCCCCGTCTCCATCACTGTGCCTACATTAACCACCTCCCCTCCCTTCAAGAAAGCATCTGCAGTCTCCGAAGCCTGATAAGGATGTGTGTGTACAAAATGCAACAAACTCTTACTGATATGTGCTGGGTCCAGGCTCAAGGGCGTATGGCACTCTCAACTCTTTCCAGGACATGCCAGGGCCCTGCCTGCCAGTAGCTTTGCCGACATCTGTGTTGATAGGTAATAGATTAAGAGCGGTGAATCAGCTTAGAAACAGGAAGTGCTCAAACGTTTGTGTGAGTTTATCAAATTTAGCAGTGATTCCATGTCAGCCACAGCTTGTCACAAAAAATCTTACTGATAGTGTGTTTAACAAACTTAAACTAACTTTATTAAATGTCAGGTCTCTGGCAGGAAAAACATTTTTAATCAATGATTTTATCATTGAGCACAATCTTGATTTGATGTTTTTAACGGAAACTTGGATTAAACAAAATAACAGTGCAGCTGTTCTTATTGAATCAACCCCTCCCAACTTTAGTTTTATGAGTCAGGAAAGAATGCATAAGAAAGGGGGTGGAGTTGCTATTTTGTTCAATGATTCCCTTCAATGCAGGAAGACATCTTATAGGAACTTTGCTTCTTTTGAATATGTGGCCCTTCAGCTGAAATGCTGCTCTCGAGCTCTGTTCCTAAATATCTATAGACCACCCAAATACTGTGCAAGCTTTTTTGATGACTTTACTGAACTGCTGTCTATAGTGTGTATTGACTTTGACCGTCTAGTCATTGTTGGTGATTTTAACATCCATGTTGACAACCCATGAAAAAAAAAAAAAATGATATAGATGCCATTGCTCTAAGGTAAAGGAAGTGACTGGGAAGAAAATATCTCCATGGAGAAAGGCCATGACCGTGAGAGCAGAAAAAAGAGAGTGTCGAAAAGCTGAACGTAGGTGGCGAAAAACAAATCTCCAGGTTCACTTTGAAATCTATAAAGAGAGACTTGGCCTTTATAATTTGGAATTGAAAAACGCACGACAGTCTTTCTTCTCTGACATCATTACCAAAAACAAAAACAATGCACGTGCCTTGTTTGCTACCGTCGACAGACTAACTACTAACAGTGTCAGTAGCCTCTGAATTTCTATTCACCAGGGCATGCAATGATTTTGCCTCCTTCTTCACTGACAAAATTCAGAAAATCAGACAAGCAGTCAGTGCCTCTGCATCAGGTACAGCAAATGTGTTGTCACGATGTCCACCTAATATCAATTAAAACACCATGACACAATTCCATCAGATTAATGATAAAAACCTAGAGGACATTATTCAACTTCTGAAATCCTCCTCCTGCTGCCTTGATATTATTCCAACAGGATTTTTCAAAGATGTTTTTCGTTGCATGGCCTCAGATCTACTTCATATAGTAAACAAATCTCTTCACTCAGGTATTTTTCCACAGGCCCTGAAAACTGCAGTCATTAAACCACTCTTAAAAAAGAATAATCTAGATGCTTCAGTAATGAACAATTACAGGCCCATATCAAACCTGCCATTTCTAGGTAAAATCATTGAAAAAGTTGTTTTTCAACAGTTGAGTAATTTCTTGCATTTAAATAGTTGTTTCGATGTGTTCCAGTCAGGCTTTCGTCCAAACCACAGCACTGAGACTGCTCTTGTAAAGGTCGTCAATGACATCCACTTAAACACAGACAGTGGCAGAACTTCAGTGTTCGTATTATTAGATCTCAGTGCTGCGTTTGACACTGTTGACCACAACATATTACTCGACCGACTAGAAAACTGGGTGGGACTTTCGGAAACAGTTCTAAATTGGTTTGAATCCTACTTAAAGGACAGAAAAAACTTTGTTTCTATAGGTAAATACACATCTGAGTTGACAAATATGACATGTGGGGTACCTCAAGGCTCCATCTTGGGGCCTCTTCTCTTTAACATCTACATGCTACCACTGGCTCAGATAATGAAAAACAACAAAATAAGTTACCAAAGCTATGCGGATGACACACAAATTTACATAACAATTTCACCAGGAGACTATGCTCCAATTCAAACACTGAGTAAGTGCATTGAAAAAATCAATGACTGGATGTGTCAGAACTTTCTCCAATTACACAAAGATAAAACTGAGGTAATGGTTTTTGGAGCCAAGGCAGAACGTATAAAAGTTAGCCCTGAGCTTCAGTGTGCAATCTTCAAAACAACAGATAAAGCCAGAAATCTAGGTGTAGTCATGAGGCGCATTCACACTGCGGTACTTTTCCCACAAAGGTTCATGTGAACTTAGTTCATGTGAACTCTTTAGTTCGCATGAACTAAGTACAGATCGCGTTCACACCGGAATAAGTCCCTGGGGGTGAATTAGGCAAATGAAGCCGCTGACGTCACTTGTTCTTCTTCTGCTTTGGGTTTACTGGCAGGCCGCAAACCACTTCACGGCGTATACTGCCGCCCAAAGTCCCCGGCCGGAAGTCCCCGGAGTTGGGGACTGGCTTCAGTAGAAGCCGCTGGGACTCCCAGCAGCTTCTACTGAAGCCTTCCGAGTAAATCGCCAGAACGCCGATACCTCCTCATCTCCACCGCTCCCATGTTTTATTTTGTGTTGCCATAAGTTAGTCTCTCTGCGTTTCTGCGCTGGGTTAATGCTAATAATGCTAATGCGAGGATAATAAAATGGCGGCTTCACAAAACTTTTTGGGAGTTTTACGGGGCGTGGTTTGCAATCCGCCCAGCCAATCAGAAATATAGCTCTTTTCTCACAAGAGAGCCGCACGAAAGTCCCTGCTCTCTAGCAGGGACTTTCGTGGGGGTAAAAAGGTTCACATGAACTAATTTTAGTACCGGCTCTTTTTGGTGTGAATGCGATAAAAGAGTTCACATGAACTAAGTTCACATGAACCTTTGTGGGAAAAGTACCGCAGTGTGAATGCGCCTATGGACTCTGACCTGAGTTTCAACAGTCACATTAAAACAGTTACTAAATCAGCCAACTATCACCTAAAGAATATCACTAGGATTAAAAGACTAATGTCTCAGCAGGATTTGGAAAAACTTGTCCATGCTTTTATCTTCAGTAGACTGGACTACTGTAATGGTGTCTTTACAGGTCTCACTAAAAAATCTATTAGAAAGCTGCAGCTAATTCAGAACGCTGCTGCTCGAGTCCTCACTAACACTAAGAAAGTGGATCACATCACTCCTGTTCTGAAGTCTTTACACTGGCTTCCTGTGTGTCAAAGAATATATTTCAAAAATACTGCTGCTGGTTTATAAAGCTTTGAATGGTTTAGGCCCAAAATACATTTCTGACCTACTGCTAAATTATGAACCATCCAGATCTCTCAGGTCTTCAGGGACTGGTCAGCTTTCTGTCCCCAGAGTCAGAACTAAACATTGAAAAGCAGCGTTGAGTTATTATGCTCCAAATATCTGGAACAAACTCCCAGAAAACTGCAGGGCCGCTGCAACTCTGACAACTTTTAAATCCTGAATACTTTTCTTATAGCCGCTGCTTTTAATAGATCTATTCATATCTTAAACTGCACTGTAACTTTTATCCATGTATTTTTTCTTTTAATGTTTATTTTATTATCTTTTCTTTTTAATGACTGATTTTAAATGCCATTTTCTTAATGTCTTTCGTTTTTTGTAAAGCACTTTGAATTGCCTTGTGTTGAAAGGTGCTATATAAATAAACTTGCCTTGCCTTACCCTGTACCAGGTTATGAGTGGCTGTGAAGTTTTCAACAAAGTGATCCTTACCGACTACCTCGAGGTCAACCGGCAGGAGCTGAAGCGCTGGCTCAGGAACGCAGAGGACAGTGCCCTGGACTGGACTCCATTCCTGAAGCATACCTGCAAGCTGGAATGCCGACAGTATGCATTTTTCCTCCCTAACTTTTGTTAAACATGATGTGATATTCATTCAGTATTATACCGTTACATATTTTTCAGTGTTTGATTTAGTGATTTATCAGGCCCTCAGCGTGGACAGAGAAAGCTGCTCGGCTGCGTTCAGTTGTCTCGGACGTTCTCTATGTTGATGTGCACAGCCCTCAGCCTCTGGACCCTGGTGCACTTCCCCCAGCTGGAGCCGACTGCCTGGTGTCCTGCCTCTACCTGGAGGCCTCCAGCCCTGACCTGGCTGCCTTCAATAAAGCCCTGGGACACATGAAGGTTCTCCTGCGACCTGGTGGCCACCTTCTTCTCATTGGAGTCCTGGAAGAGAATTACTATATGGGCGGGCCTGGGGTGAAGATCCCTGTTGTCCCACTGGATGAGGCCCAGGTGTGTGCCAGTCTGAAGAAGATGGGCTTCACTCTGATCAGGCTGGAGGTTTTAGACGCTGCCTCCGGACATGAGGGTGGGGGTGGACGACGTTTCTGGCCTGTTTTTTGCAAAGGCAATGAAGGATTAAAGAGAGAGTTAAGGGGCAAAATGAAATAATAGGGAATAAAAGATTTTACTATCTTATTTTAAACTTAAATAACCTGAAATGATTCAATTAATGTTCTTTATTATTGGAAGTGTTTTAAATGCTTGGTGGTATAAGTTTGTCCTGTATTATTGTGTTCACAATAAATGTCACTTCTCCTATGTCTCAAGTCTCACTTCAATTCTGACACTTAATGTATACCCGAGGTTGAAACCACTGCAACACATTCAGTTCCTTTTCTTTTCTATCACTTTTCGGTACTGAAGTTACATAAAATACAAATGTATTTAAAATAATTGTACTAGCCTATCAAGTGTGGTGCCAGGAAGTAATTACAACATGGAGAAAACTGAACACATTTTAGTGGGAAGAGAATAATTGATGGAGAAGGTTATTCATACAATACATTGGGAGACACATAATAAAGTACATCTAGTTGAAATATAAATAAATTAAATATACTTTTGTAAATTAACTTTTTAAGTGGTGTGATTTATTTTCTCCACTCGATGTAAAGTACCCCAGTCCAGCAGGGGGCGTTAATGCGCCAATACACTGGTTTACCAAGCGCCAACAAACGGTTGTGGTGACACTTTTAAATAACAGCAGAGTGAGACCTCTGAGGAGAAGCTAGTCCACGGTCAGACAAGGTGTAAAGTTGTAGTTTCTTGTTCTATCCTTGTATCTGTCAGTCTGCGAGCAGCACCATGTTTGCCGTCAGAAACGCTCTCCGCCTCGGCTCCAGGCTGTCCGTCCCCGCGGTGGCGAGGAGAGGCTGCTCCGGGACTGCCATCCCGGTGGATGATGTGGTGAACGGGCTCACCGACGACCAGATACAGGTTAGCTAACGAGACACACAAAGTTCACTTATCAGCTGGCTGAAAAAGAAAAAAACAGTCACATTAAACACAACTAAAGTATGGTTTATGAAGTTTAACAGTCAACAGTGGAGGGTTTAAGGACGTTACGCATATGAGGTGATGACATAACATTAGCAGTTAAGGAGACCTTCATGTTAGCCGACCCTGCTAAGCTAACCACCTAGCAAACAGATGTTTCACACTAAACATCATCCTAATATTAGTCTTAATTCATTTGTTTTGCACTTGTATAATCGCTTCAGAAAGTGGCCCTTTCAAAGCGCATTTGTTTAAGCGTAACCAGCTTTATTTACCAATATTCGCCTTGCTAGCCACCAGTTAAGCTCTCCTAGGGAAAGTTAGTGAAAGGTGAACGGCTCATTGAAACATGCTTTCCAATCAAGAAATGTCAACCCAGCTAATGGGGATAGCAGGTTAGTAATGCTTTAAATTAAAAGAGAGAATCAGGGCATTAGCTGGTAGCAGAGCAGGGGGTGTGCTTCATATAAAGGATTTGATTGGGTAAGAGTGGCTCTTCTCCAGTCCTGAATATTATGAATAAACCTGAACAATCATTTAACCGATTTATGCATGATTGTGAGATGTCTTACCAAAGTGACATCAACAAGATTCAAGAAAAGTCAAAGGCTTTATTGTTATATGCACAGTAGCTACGGTGTAGTTATGGCAATGATATAAAACACATTTTTTTTTAAAAACAATACAAATAGTGCTTGAATAAATTTATTAGAAATAAAATAGTGCAAGATTATAAGTAATGCAGGAGAAGTGAACTGTATGTAAAATAAAATACTATAAGCTACATTTTGCAGATAATGTTGCAAGTGACCAAGTAAATGCAGGAGTCTATATTTATGTAAATAGAGTAAGATAAACAAGAACATAATGTAAAATGAAGTACTGTACAGTGGAATAAATACTGCTTATTGTAATAATAAATAGATTTGTGAGATGCAAACAGATCAGTGCTAACAGAAACACTTGATAAAGATATATAGCTAATCCATTTCTGCCATGAAATCAAATGACGAAGGAACATCAGAACACATGGCTGCTTTTTCATTATTCAGTGCCTTTTAATAATGAGTCATTTTAAAGTATTTTGTTCTTCTTGTTTTTTTGCACAGCTCAGGCATGCGGTTCGTAAATTCTGTGCAGAAAAGCTTGCACCTCAAGCTAACGAGATCGACAAGACAAATGAATTTCCAGGAATGCGGGTGAGTTGAATCACCACATCATACCTGTGGTTTTCTGAACGAGTTGAATTGCTAATAAAGTGGTATATGGTCATGAGTGTGAGCCAATTTACCATCTAACCTAGAGCAGGATTTCTGTTTTGGTAACAATTTGCGTTGTCTCTCCTCCAGAAATTTTGGCTAGAAATGGGGGAGATGGGACTCCTTGGGATCACAGCTCCAGGTAAGACAGCTGAAGGAAAAGCACCATCAGTGATTTGAAGTAGTTGAATGACAGCTGGTGGAAAGTGGTCCTCTCTTTTTTTGTTATGTTTAATATGAATGTATTCTCAACATCTCTTCTCAGAGGAATATGGGGGCACAGGACTGGGATACCTCGATCATGTCATTGTGATGGAGGAAATGTCCCGAGTGTCAGCAGCCATTGCTCTCAGTTACGGCGCCCACTCTAATCTCTGCGTCAACCAGATGGTGCGCCACGGCAACGAGAAACAGAAGGAGAAATATATTCCAAAGGTCTGGACCAAAACAGCTCATGTTATACATAATAAACTGTTAAACTAAGATGGATTAAGTTCTTCGTGCTCATCATGGTGTTTTCCTGACAGTTAATGACAGGAGAGCACGTAGGAGCGCTCGCCATGAGTGAGCCCAACGCCGGCTCTGATGTCGTATCCATGAGACTCAAAGCGGAGAAAAACGGTATGACAAACTCTGCATAAATGTTATTCCTATTATTTATTTTTTTATTTTACATCATCTTAATTTGTAGTTCATATACTTCTAGTTATTATTTAATTTTTTTATATTCATCTGAATTATTTAAATCCTTATGCTGCTGCTACACCTGACACTTATCTTTTTAATTTAGTTAGTTTGTTATATACTCGTGCATGTATACAGTAAAGGCTCGATTGTATGTTTAAACTATAATGTGTGTGCTTGATGGTCATTGAATAAATGCCTGAAATGTCAATTTTCTCCGAGATGAAAAGTCACAATCTGTTAATAATGTGGTTCTGTGAGGAGAGATTTTGTCACCATGATCGCATCCACGCACATTTCTGTCACAATAGTTCACAGATGTGTACTCGAGCTCAAAAGGAAGGGCAAGTTTGAAGATGGCCCGATTCGGCCTGATCCCACTGCAAGATGTTTGATTTTAAGTTTAATGATAGATTCGTGTTTGAACAGGTTTAACCAAATAGACTTGGATGCTTCCAGGATAAGAGAATAAATTATTGAGCTGTGGCCTTAAATCTTTAATGAGAAACTAATTATCAATTAACCACAACGACAGGTGCACTCACATCATCTCTTAACCTATGATTAACATCTCCAGATTTGACCATGGATCCAGACAAATGGTTTTAAATATTAATTCTACACAGTGTGACTCCAGTGTGATTTCCACTTGTATATTTACTTTGTGTCTTTCTACAGGCGACTACTATATTCTGAATGGCAACAAGTTCTGGATCACAAATGGGCCCGATGCCGATGTCCTTATTGTTTATGCAAAGACAGATCCCAAGGCCCATCAAAAAGGCATCACAGCATTTATTGTTGAAAAGGTAAATCCAATTTAAGATGGATTCTTCTCCGTCTCAGGCTTTACTCGTGGCTCAGAGGACACTGTGGGTTTAAACGTTTGCAGTCAGTTCTGGGGATCAGTCTTGCATTTTATTAATTGATTATAATACAAAATAATCACAGCAATTAAAAAAAAGTTTGTACATGTTTTTTTAGGGAATGCCTGGATTCTCTACAGCACAGAAGCTTGACAAACTGGGCATGAGGGGCTCCAACACCTGCGAGCTGGTCTTTGAAGACTGCAAAATCCCAGGTGTGTGTTCAAGGGCCAACAGTGTGAAACAAAGCAGTTTTTTTTTTAAATACATTTTTTGGCTCACTGTATGATCCTTTTAAACTGATCGTGTATGTTCATCTAACTTTTGGATTTTCTGCTTGTTTCCTTGTAGAGAAGAACATCCTTGGTCCGTTGAACAAAGGGGTTTATGTGATGATGAGCGGCTTGGATCTGGAGAGGCTGGTGCTTTCAGCAGGGCCCATCGGGTAAGTTCATTTCAGAATTGATATTAAACTCTTCAGAAAATTAGGATGTATATCAAATTGTATTACCATCCACGAGCTCATGCTGGAGTTCATCTTTGAGTCCTTGTGTGTATTCTTTTAGTCATGTTTGCTACTGTTTTATAGTGCTGTCTGTTATCACTTTCACATATTCATTACCATCAGTAATTGCCTATCAGTCTGACCTTTTGGATTTGAATATTAAATAAGATGTGATACACTTTTATTGATCCCCACAGGGGGAATTGGGTTGTTGCAGCAGCACAAGGACAGCAATAAATACAAATAAAGCATAAATAACTAAATGGAGATACAACTACAATATAAAGACGAAGTAAAAATCACACCAAATGACTGTGTTGATGACAGTAGAACTACCAAGTCTATTATATACAAAATCTAGTTTATCAATAAAATAAATCAATTGAAAACATCTTATTGTACATTTTTACATCTCTGTTTCAAGTTGTTTGTGGTGAAAATGTGAATGTAAACACTGTTCGCTTGTCAGTTGGCTTGTCTGTATTTGAAAAAAGCTACTGGCACATTTACTTTGCATGTTTGTGTGTCGTTAACATGAGCAGTCTTTACTTTTGATTTAATTGTTATTACTGTAACGCATAGATAATTATTCTAAAGCGAGCATTGAAACACTTAATTTTTTCCAATTGCTTATCAAGTGCAATGTGTTATTGGAAACGGAAAAGAAGTTGCTAAATATTCACACTAAACAACAACATGAATGCTGTTCAAACATTTAAACGGTAGCAGCAGTTAATGGAAACAGCGTGACATTCATATGTTTTCTGTTTTCTACCCTGCCGGTTCCATTATGTGAGCTGCTTTTCAATATCCTATTATGAGACTTCTTTGAATTATTCAGCAGACTTTAACAAATGTTTCACTTTCCAGCATCATGCAGGCCGTTTTGGACAACGCTGTTCCCTACCTGCACACCAGAGAAGCTTTCGGACAGAAGATCGGACACTTCCAGGTTTGACCTTCAGACTTCTCTTTATACAAGAAAGTAGAGTTTGAATCGTGATATATTTAGTAAAATGTAATAGCTGTAGTGTAAAGCTTGCAGCTATATCATTTGAAGCTGTTATTTGAAGTGAGTGAACTATAATGTTTGATGTTATTCTGTTTGCAGCTAATGCAAGGCAAGATGGCCGACATGTACACCAGGCTGAGCGCCTGTCGGCAGTATGCGTACAACGTCGCCCGAGCTTGTGACAAAGGACATGCTAGTGCAATGGTGAGGGGATTTTTTAAATATATATATACTTATGAAGAACCTATTTTGTTACAAAAGTTGCATATGATTAAGTATAGCATTTCAATTTCAGTGTAAGAAAAAGATTTTAGAGAGTACTTGTCCATGGACAAGTGAGTTTGGCAATTTACTTGTCCGAATACATTTTTCAAATGAACACAAAACAATACAGGCAGACGAATGCAGCTGTCGTAAAACACAAATGAAATGGCATATTAACCAGTCAATATGCAAATAAAAGAAACTATTATAAAACATTAAAAACTGGCACAATTTTAAAACGACTTCAATTATGGGATATAAGAGCAATCAGAAACGGGTTCATTGCCAGGTAGGTTCACACGTACGAGGAATTTGACTAGGTGTCGTGGTGCATACATAAAAGTAATAAAAAACATACATTTAAATAAAAAAAAGAACACCGATAGCAAACTATATTAAGAACACTGTAATAAAAAATATCAATCGCATCGACCAATGGTTTCTTGTTCTCTGTCCTTTTAAGATGGACATGGTTAAACCTGGAAAAAGTCAAAAAAGTATTTTTGTAAAAAAGATCTTATCAATGACATTTAAAATCTAATGTCATTATAATGTAGGAAGTTTATGAATTCCTCTCACTTGTGTGATCCTATGAAGAAGAAAGATGTTAGATATGTTGTTACTCAGTCAGCATTTCATTTTTCCTACACTGTCCTGTAACAGTAGATTCCCCCACCACTGCACAGATGTTGACAGGTATTGTTGTTGCAGGATTGTGCTGGAGTGATCCTGTATTGTGCAGAGAACGCCACTCAGGTTGCTTTGGACGGCATTCAGTGTTTGGGTAAGTGCCAAGGCTCAAATGAAAACCGAACCTTTTTAAAACAAAATGTAAACGGTACTGAGGGAAAGAATGTATTTCAGTCAGAAAGAGAGGTTTGCGGTCTTCCCTCTGGTTCCTGATGGAGTCCTGTTGCTTGGTGTTAACATCAGAGCAGCAGGAAGCAGGCGCTACAGGTGCAGCTACTTTGGTTCATAAATATCACGCTGACTAGAGAATGGCTGCAGGGAAGATAAGAGAGAGGACCCTTCCTCGACTGCAGTGTGATCAGGGGGAGAGCTTTAAAAAGTGGGAATATTCTGTTTATTGGATGGATAGAAGCCATGGGGATGTACTGAGTTAAGCTTTAGAAGAGAAAGGAGCAGAACTGATAGTGTTTGTGATGAACTTCTCTTTTAGGCACGTCCCATGCAGTGTTTGGTTTCATTTGCATGCTTAGAAAGAATGTGCCTCTTTCCTCATGTGATACTTCTTGTTGCAATTTTCATTTGATGCCAAGCTTTAATGAGTCTCCTTCACACTTTCTAAACTTGTTTTCCCCAGTAAATGCCTTTCATTTTATGGTATTTTAGACAAAAAAGTGATCATTTCTGAAGTTCAAATTGTAGTTGCCTGGCTTTATTGCATTGCTGTAGTTTTTAAAATAACGATTTTGTTGAGTAAAAATGTGTAGAAAAGTTTTGTTAATTATACTTGAAGTGTGAAATGCACACAGTTATTAAGCCATGCAACACAGGTTTTATCTGTAGCAACTATAGTAAGATATTACGAGCGCATGGACTCATTTAGTGTTATTTTATTATGTGCGCTGTAATATCAACCCGCTCCGTTGCTGCTCACTAACTTTAATTCATGTGCCACTTGTCGACAGGTGGGAACGGCTACATCAACGACTACCCCATGGGGAGATTCCTGCGCGATGCAAAGCTGTACGAGATCGGCGCAGGCACGAGTGAAGTTCGCCGGCTCATTATTGGACGAGCCTTTAACGCCATGTACAAATAATGGAACGCGCTCAAAAACTCTACAAGAGGTTTTTCATGAATGAACACAGTTACTCACTCCCAGGGCCTTAAACTGATGAACTGATGCTGCTGTCAGGATGTTGTGGAAGCTTCCAAATGATTGTCACACAGGATATTAATTCATTTATATGAAATCACTCAGAGCTGACCCAGATGTTACAAGCCTTTTTTTCCTACAAAGACTGTATTTTGAATTGCATTAACCTGATAATCACTGTAATGCCAATTAAGCAATACAAATAGATATTAACGTGGGTTTTAATTTCATTCTTAAATAGTTAATTTATCTCCCTATCTAGGTGACAAGGGATCAAAAACTGCTGCTGCCTTTTTTACTTCAACAAACCATGTTGGTGTTTCTAGGGTTATAAGTATAAATACTGAATACTGTTATAACAGTAAAAAAAATCATATGAACTGATCATTTTGAAGCTAACGACTGAGCAGGTGAGGGGTGGACACTGTTGCTTAGACACCACAACATCGACTAATCACTTCCTAACAGTTGATTAAATAAGAATTGCTTTTTTTTCACATCACTTTAATTATTTAAAGCAAATTGAGAACAGTTTCTGATCAATGAGGAAATGTATCTGATGTCTGAGTATTCTGTTGTAGAGAATTAGCATTAGAGAAAAAAAAGTTTGTCCATTTTCCGGAGCAAATATATTCCACTACAGTCTGTACAGTCCAACTGGAGCAACACTCCTACAGATTTGTTTGTCTTCTCTTCTCTAAAGGACTAAATGTAGCTGTACAGTGTGATACATGTATGATATAATGTACTGTTTGACATGAAATAAATGAACAAATGTTTTATTTCATTTCTGACTTGTTCTAGTCATTTTCATGAAGCATCATATTTACAACAATCTGAAAAAAACATTGTAAAGAAGGCATGTCTGTTTGTATCGTGCCTCTGTACCGCTGAACACAGGGCTGCTTGTTTCTACAAAAGATGAAGTGGAGACGTCAGTTCAGACAATGATTGAACTATCACAGTGCAGTTGAATAATACATGTCAGGGTGACTTTTCTCATTACAGGTAACAACACAACAGTATTGTCTCTAACACTGCAGTAAATGCAAGGGAATTACATGTTTTTTAACACTTAAAATTAAAACGTGTATTCTGTTAAAATATCCTCTTTAAAATCCATGATAAATGAACAACTACATTAAAGTTAAACACAAAAAAAACAGCATTGCGACATTTGACAAGCAGTGTTAGAAATATGGCTTACTTAAGTAATAGCATTAAAAACACTTGTTGCATTCAGATTGACCTAAGCAGTCAAATGTGCTGCAGTATGAAAGGTTATGCTGCGAGAGTCTTATTGTGATATTATTGGATCATTACTGATGCATTAACATTTAAGAAGTACTTTTGTGTTGCATTTTGAAAGGATATAGATTAATTTAACTCTTAGTTAGTTTAATCTGTAAAACTCCATATCATTTTAGATTAGTATTACTATGTTTTGTAAAATCTTAATCTGCAAACCAACTAAGCAATCAACCATAGTTATCAGGATATCTATTGAAATAAAAGTAAAATATTAACCTTCGAGATGTGATGGATGAAGAGTATAAAGAGAACGATTTCAAGCAAAATGTGCATGCTTTGAATGTGTGACCAGAGTTTTAATTAAACGGTTGTGGAAATCTTGACTGTACAGCCTGAGAGAACCAGCAAGTTAGCCGTTGAAGCAAAAGCAGCAAAGCCATGCTTGTACAACGGAGATGTAGTCAATTATCAAACATACTGCCTTTTCTCATGTTTATCTTCTATCACTCTCTTTGAAACTCACCTCAAGCTACATACCAAATGTCGACACTTCTGAAGACCTGCAACAAGGACAATCAATCAAAGTGTTCTATAGTTTCCTGTCCTTAGATGGCAGGTGGGCAATTTCTCCTTTCAAACCCACGATGACAAGATGAAGGATGATGGTTTACTTCAGAGATGATGGTGCATCTGTGGCACTCACTTTATAGACAACTGATTTTTAAAGTATTTTATAAGAGTGTTATACCCCTAAATCCAACAAATAGACCACCTGTATTTGTCTTGTTACTTTTTAATAAGCATGTATTTTAGATACAATTTAACCTTATAATAAAGCATGCCAATGCACTGTGTATGAGCTTAAACGGTTTAATGACTCATGTAATGCTCTGCAGATCAGTTATAAGTGATCTAATGCAAACATCCAGTGTGAACTCAGATCTTTGTAAAGGAAGCTGCTGTCAGAGGAGTGTTATTTTTCTTTTCAGCTGTGTGGCTCTTTATAAAGCAGGAAGGACTCCTCCCTTCAGGGGAGAGGCGCAAAGTGCATGCCTTATTGTCAAGTCAAGGTTTATAATGAGCATCAAGTGTGGAACTATGTAAGTGAGTCATTGATGGAGGTCTGATGGACACTATAGTTAAACTTCTTCATAAGTGGTTTATACATTTTAACTTTTTTTTGGTGAATCAACTGTAGGAAAGTAAAGGGAAATCAGGACAAACTGAATTTTAGGAACGATTTCTGGACTCAGCCACACTTTATGTTTTACTTGCTAATAAATTATGATTGAACAATAAACTGAAAAATACTATTGAAAGACATGTAAAAAAAAAATACTAGATGTATATAAGAACATGGATAAGGCTTAATAATATTTTGTATAAGCCATGCTGCTAAATAAATGCTAAATAGGTTGAAGAGTAAATCAAGATAACTCAAAAACAGAAAATGTGTGACTCTAAGCACTTTTGTCTCATTGTGCATATAGGCTAGACACTATCTTAATTTATGGGCCATACAAAATCCCAGGTGTCACAATATGAAGTGACCCCGTTGATGAAATAAAACCAGAAAGTCACAGAAGAACAACCAGCCCTCCGCAGCAGAGCTCCGGGGCGCAGTCACATGTCAGAGAAGGTTCTGGGCATGAGCTGGAGACATACACAGATCCTTCATTCAGAGCCCCCCCACTCTGTGCTGCCTGCTAGGGTTAATACAAGTGTCAAAAGAACAGGGCAGACATTAACTAGGTGAAAGCATGGTGAAAGCCATCTGTCAGCCACAGCGGGGCTGCTGCCTGTCGGGAGCTCCGTGACATGTGGACGGCGCGTCCGTGGCCCTTTAAGAAACTCCATGTTTTCGCTACATGATGCGTCAACATAAAAAAGCGGATGATGCTGTTATGTAAAAACACGCTGAAGTGAGCCGTAGTTTTGCAGGGAGCTTGCCGAATGCTTATCACGCCACATGTATTCTCCTAGAGCAGGATTTTGGGTTTGAAGTGAACCGACTTGTGATTTTTACGCGTAGCGCACAAGGCAGTGCAGTTTAGTGTGGAGAGAGGAAGAGGAAAATGCTTCAGCGGATCAACTCAACATGAGTCGCCCTCCACTCTGTTTTCCTCCTTCACTCGCGGGAAGCGTACACCTGACGCATCTCTCTCTCGCCCTGTGGAAGTGATCTTGCTTCTTCAAACCGGGTTATTTTCAAGACAGCAAATCGGTAAGACACAACAACTCTTATCGCTTCTCAGGCCAAACAGAAAGTGTCAGACAGGACAGGATCGAGCTCCGTGCTGGAGCGATGTGTCAGCGATAGACAGATGAACAGATCCTTCAGTTTCGGTAGTGATCTGAGTGGAAAGTTTTGCAGATCTGTGACTTTTTGCTTTACTTTAGTTGTCTTTTATCGCCTTAATGGTGAGAAACGCCTCGGTTGAGACTTGTTCAGCTCGTGATCGCTGAAAATGCCACTCGAGCAGCTTCTGTTGGAGTTTGAGGCTTCACTCTGCTGTCTGTGGAGTTTGTGTTTTTTGGGTTTCCTGTCACATTTGAGGTTGTTTATGGAGATGGAATATGTTTTAACAGCCTGCTTATACCACAGGAAACCATACTGGAGACATGTAAAGGTCCTTGTGGTATTCTACTGTTTGTTTCTTCTGGATCTATAGCTGATATCTGATGAGCCGATTAATCAATTAGTAAACTGAAGCGTCATAAATACCCAAAATCCACTGCTGCCAGGTCCACTAATGTGGATTTTGGCTGCTTAACTATCATAATACTCTGGATATATTTGGACTATAAGTACATTTATTGTTTCACTTAAGTACAACTTTGACACACTTGTACTTAACTGACATTTTATGCTACTGAATATTTATCCTTCATTACTTCTCAGAGGTAGAGTTTGTTCATTAAATGTAGCCTATTACACATCATTAACACCGAAAAGTACAGCATATAGGTTAAATGAGCTTCTCGTCAACGGTACAACATTAAAATGCTCCATATTATGTCAATGGATGCCATCTTATTAATATTGCAATGATATAACAAATGATTGTAATACACTCTTATTAAAGGAAACATAAGAAACTGCAGCAAACTGTTTGATTTACAGCCTTTAGTAGTGAAAACAGGCGATTTGACCATACTGTGACTTTTTGAGAAGATATATAGAACAGGTGAACAATTATCATTTGGATCCCAGGTCCACACATGCCACATAATTTAATCAGAAACAAAACAACACAAAACTACAGACACTGCATCCAAAAAGTGTAATGCATTTCCTGAAGTCATGTGAGCATGTACTCTACATACGAGCTGTTGCAGTTTATGACACAGTTTATGATGTTTTGTGTGTCTGTGGGAAGTATTCAACGCGGTGACCACAGTGGAAAAGAACCTGTGAGTTGACAACCAGTAAATCGTTTATTTAAAAATTGTGTCTAAATGAACCTTTTTGTCTCTCAGATTGTGGGTATGTGTTTGAAGGAGCCGTCAAGCTCATTTTATGTAAAGATGGATGTTTTTTTTTAGGACGTTTAATTTCTTCGACCCGGCTGGCCAGAGGAAAAAATTACTAGGAAGTAGTAACTTTAGACTTATCAAGAGTTAGTAATTGGATATAAAAGATGAGGTGGTTTAGGGGGAATTACTCTCCGCTAATAAATGATTGTTTCTTCGTAAGGATTTGTAATAGATTGTACCAACAGTGCTGTCATTCCTTTTTGAAAAGGGTAAGTCTAGAAAGTGAATAAAGATTGAAGATATTTCACATTCAGTCAATTAGTAGTAAGATTTCACCAAATCAGCCAGCTCTGATCTGATCTATTACCTCAGCAGTTATCCAATGATACTCTTACATGTACTATATACTTATATTTTCCTTTATCTTGGTCTGTTTTGACTCTGATGAAGACACAGTACTGTTCAAATATTAATCTATAAATTAATCAATCAGTGTTCTCCAGTTCCTTTCCCCCCTCCCTGCAAGATTTAGCTGCATGCTCTTCAGTACTTATAAAGGAGTATTTTCCCTATGGTGTTCGTACTTTTACTCAGGAAAATAGTCTAAATACTTCTTCCACCACAGTTGGATGTACAAAACAAGCTATTTGAAGACTTTAGCCTCCAGGGACATGTTATTGCCTTCTTCTTTTTACTTCCTCTGACATTCTATAGCTTTTCATAATTTAGTATTTAATCAAGAAAATAATGAGGGGATTACTCTCTAATGAAAAATAAGTTGTGTGAGTTTGCCTTAGCACTGTTTGGATGAAGAAGAAAAAACATCCAGCTTGTGGAGAGCCCATCACCTCCCGCTGTAAGAGGCAGTTGGGAGTACATGCTGTGACATGACATCAGGGTTATAGTTCACGATGTACAAGCTGCCTGGTGAGTTCTTCAGTGTAATTGTGTTTTGTAACGCCTCGTGTGGACAGAGAAGCCTGACAATGGAGCTTCAGTCCTGGAGCTTGTGGTAGATTTTGTCTCGTCAGTTCTCCGCAGCCTACTTTGACAGGCTTGTCATAGCAGCTTGTTGAATAGAGGTGCCGCCAAGACGTGAACCATAAAGCTGGATATCAATCCTGGACATAATCCCATTATTTCTGATGAAGTGTCCTGTTGTGAGGAGGAGGAGCAGTAGTAGTAGTAGGAGGAGGAGGAGGAGGAGGAGGAGGAGGAGGAGGAGGAGGAGGAGGAGGAGGAGGAGGAGGAGGAGGAGGAGGAGGAGGAGGAGGAGGAGGAGGAGGAGAGCATGCCTCCTGTCACCCAAACGTGTTCTCCTTGCTGTCCAAAAGAAGACAAATACTTCCTGCTCAGATACAGGCCACATGTGTTCAGAAGACTATCATTGATAATATAAGCATTAGCATCTATTTGTTAACATATTCTCGTTCTTCATGTTGTTGTGTGGTTCACTGTGTAAAGCAAATCCATTGAAATCTATTTCAGGAAGTGAAAACATCATTCCACCCAGTATGAATGCCTTTATTGTTCACGAGGTTGCGTTGGAAAAGTACACTAACACACGCACATCCCTTTTTCCAAAACACCTGTCATGGTCACACTGGTGTGCTCCACGCAGGGACGTTAAATATTATCTAACAGGAACTCAGCTCATTGGGTCCTTTTGGATGGCATCAAGTACAAGCTAACTTGCATGTGTTTTTTTAAACTAAAGTAACTTTTTAACTTACTGCTGTCCATGGCTGATACTTCCTCTATTTGTCAGCAGCTTCAGCTGTTTGTCATTAGATTAGACTTGCATTTCCATGTGGCATCTGCAGTGGGGAAAGTAACAAAGTACATTTACTCAGTTATTGTACTTAAGTACGATTTTTAAGAACTTGTACTTTACTTACTTCTTTACCTTTTAATGTTATTTTATACTTCTGTCGCTGAAGAAAATATTGTACTTTTAACCCAATACCCACATTTTCCAGCTCTAGTTTCTTAGATTGCTTGGATACCTATTTTTAGATTATTAATACAAAATATACATCAACTATTAAATGATGATGTCATTTCATAGATTACGACCCATCAGAACATTTTGAATGCATGGCTTTTACAGTAGTATTTTTCCTGGTATAACTACTTTTACTCGGATGTAAAATCTGAATGCTACCCTCAGTCTCCCACTGCTGGGCTGTAAATCATTTGGACATTTGGTTATTTTATATGCAGATAATCTAAAATGTCTAAACCGATGGTATTAACCTTATAAATCAACGCATGATGAAAAGATGTGGTTGAAGAGTGTGCCTAGATGTTGGGTCTCTGTTTTAGTCATTTTTAGGGAGAACTCATGTTTATTACAAATTGGGTCTTACTTTTCTAATTATGGCTATCATTCCTTTTGGTAAATTAACATTGCACTCCCCAAGCTATTGGCTAAAATCATTGCCGGGTTAACCTGCTAAGGGGCCCCGAGGCAACAAGCGGACTTCTGGGCCCCACATTCATGTAGAGATATTCAGCGTACAAGCACAACACTGAAATAATACCTCTGGCTCCATGCAGGAGGTTTAAGCAGCCTAAAAAGGAGACCTACAGACACTACCAAGGGCTAAAAAAAGCTCTTCACCTTGTAATTGTATTGTTTGAATTCAGAGTTATTCTTCTCCTTAAATATACCCTTTTCTTTATATTTTGCTTCATAGAGTTCAGCTCACTTTTGAGACCAAGCATACTGTATGCCCTTGAATGTCTTATGACTTGGTTTTATTTTTGTAATAATAATACACCTTTAAATACACATATTCATGAAATTGACCCCAAACCAGTTGAACCCTAGTGCTTTCACACCAAATTGCGCAAAGATCTGGAACAGCATCATATATGTCCGATATTCCCTGTATTCTGGTTTTGTCTGAAATGTGGGAATATGGCATCGTTTCTAAAAAGAAAACAGGGCGAGAAATGCCAACGATCAGACTAAACAACCCCCCTCCCCCAAACACCAGTTGGATGACCCAAACTGTCCATTACAAACATGCTTCACAGTTTATAGACCGACTTCCTGAGTAAACTTTGACCAACTGTTCTTACTTTGTTGTGCGTGCAAAAACATTTCCTGCTATTTCAGATTATAACCGTAATTTCTACGCACTCTATTTCAGTTTTACCTCTGAATAACACCGTTTAGATCAACTGTTGCCCTCATTACCTCCTGTCTCTGAGTTGTTGTGGCAAAGTGCTTCCAGATTTCAGCAGTGATTTTGCATTACGACAATGTTATCCCATCCAAATAGATATAACGCGATAATTTAAAACAAGACTAAACCTGAATTATGCTTTGTGGCTAACATATAATCTACAGAAATATACATTGAATAATGCTTCTGATTTTCTCAGTTAATTCCTCTGCTTTTCAGTTGCTTTAATATTTCTTTGGTTTAAATCTTCAGAGTCTCCAAAGCCATACTGTAGCCTCCTAAAGCCATTAGCCAGGCCCTCTCCCGCTATCCCCCTCTCCCTCTCTCCCTGTCTCTCACTCTCTCTTCTTCCCCTGATTCACCCTGGCAAAATGCCCAAGACACAGCTGTGAAAATTACAGGTCTGTTTCATGGAAACACAGAAGAAGAGGGGGCAGGGTTGGTGGGGAGGTAGGCAGAAACCGAGCAGAGACCCAGCGTCAGCTGTTGGCCGGCCCACAGCTGCAGTGGATGTGGAGCTTTCAGGGCCGGGGTCTAGCTCGCTCCTCACACA